CCGGCCACCACCTGGGACACCCAGAGCAGGCTCCTGGCGCCAGCTGTGGTGGACCTCTGGGGAGTGAACCCGTGGACAAGAGACCCGCCCCAGTGAGAAGGCTCAGGTGCCCAGCGGCTGTGCATGCTGCAAAGATTTTTTTTTTTTTTTAAATTTATTTGAAAGTAAGTTAGAGAGAGAGAATCCTCCACCCCTGGTTCCCTCCCCAGTGGCCAGAGCCAGGCCAGGCAGAAGCCAGGAGCCAGGAGCTTCTTCCAATCTCCCACATGGGGGCAGGGGCCCAAGGATTTGGGGCCATCCTCCATGGCTTTCCCAGGCCACGGCAGGGAGCAGGATCTGAGGAGCAGCTGGGACTCGAACCAGCACCCTTACAGGATCCCGGCACTGCAGGCGGAGGCTCCACCGCTGCTGGCCAGAGGGCGCCTGGTGAGCAAGGGCACCAGTGCAGGGCGGGGGGTCAGCAGGCAGGGCCCGGGGATGCCCAGATACCACGTGGGCCGAAAAGCAGGGGCTTCTCCTCGGGCCCCTCCCCCCAGGACACCTTCGGGGGCCCACCCCGCAGTGCCCTCCTCCCAGTCTGGGGCGGGCTCCAGGAGCCAGGTTGCAGCTAGGCAGAATCTTCCAGTTACCGGGCTAGACTCCTCCCCCAACGTCCCCGACCTCCCAGAGCGGGTGTGGGGCTGAAGACCTCAGGGCGGGGCCCACACCTGGCCGCAGGCGCTCGTCCCCCCCACCTCCAGCAGACCTGTTCTTCCTCAGGCGTGAGGGGACAAGACCCCCGCCTCGGGCGAGCTGGGTGGCCCGGATGGTGCTGATTTGCAGCCCCAGAGCCCCCATTGTTATTCCCGGGCGCCCCGCCGCAGCAACACAGCCTCTCCCTGCCCCGCGGGCGGGGTGGGGCCCTGGGCCATTGCTGGGGAAGCTCCCTGGGCGTTTTCGGCTAGGTCCTCTGCCTGCGGGCTCCCCACCCAGTCCCCCAGGACCTCCGCGGTCTACACTGCCCCGGATCGACCTCGGTCAAGGCTCTGGTAGGGCTTCTGGGAGGCCACAGGCAGGGCACCGACACCTTCGGACCCCCAGCCCCTCCCCAGGCCCCGGGCATCTGCACCTTGGCCTGATCTTGTGGAACGTCCCGCAAGGGGCCACTGCCAGGCGGCTCACGCACAGGATGCAGTCCGAGAAACAATGTTTTTATTGAACACAGCCAGGTCCAGGGCGGGGTCCCCAGGCTCACTGGCGGGGCTCGCCCAGGACGCCCCGCTCCGCGGCTGCACTGCCCAGGATGAAGCCCACCGCCAGGGACACGGTCTGGTCGAAGGAGCCGCGCAGCTGCTCCACGTGCTGGTTCAGCGTCAGCAGCTGGTCGCGCAGCGGGCCCAGGACGGCCACGATGTCGCCCAGGTGCCCCAGGGTCTGCAGCAGCGCGGCGTTCAGCGACGGGGCGGCGGCCCGCGGGGGCGTGCGGGGCTGGGGGCTGGCGGGCGGCGAGCCCCGGTCCTCCGGGCCGGGGTCTGGAGCCGGCGGCGGGGACTCGGGGGCGGGCAGGGGCGCGTGGTCCTCGGCGCGGCCGGTTTCGGGCGCGCAGGCGGCGAAGGCAGTCGGGACGCGCGCAGGCGGCGAGTCTGGTGCGGGTGGGGAGTTGGCCGCGCGAGCGGCGTCCGAGGACTTCGGCGCGACCGGGCTGAACCTGAGCGTCCAGGCGGGATCTACGTCTGGGTCGCGGGCGGATGTCTGCGGCGTGGCGCCTGGGAACAGAGCGCGTGGTCGGTTCGGGGACCCCCGCGTGCGCGGGCCCCGGCCCTCTGCCCTCCCCTCGGCCCCCGCCTACCTGGGTCGTCTAGGGCCTGCACGGGCGTGGGTTCGGCGGGGGCCGCGTGGCGGCCGCGCTGGGGGCGCCCGGGGCCGGGGGGTCGGCGGCGGGCCCGCCTGCGCCCGTTGTCCCCCAGCAGCCCCATGAGCTGGCGGATCTGTGCGTCGAAGGGCCCGGGCGGCTGGCCCTGCGCGTCGCGGAGTTTGTCCTTGAGGAACTTGTAGCGGCGGCGGCACTGCGCGGGCGTGCGCCTCACCTGCTGCCGGGCCAGCGCGGCCGACACGCGGCGGTAGGTGGGCAGCGCCTGGCGGCGGTCCAGCAGCAGTGAGCGCCACACGGCCGGCTGCAGCAGCGTCCCCAGGAGCAGCTCCGTCTCCCGCGCGTTCCAGGGCGTGCGCTTGGCCGAGCCGGGAGACACGGGCGCCCCGAGCTCCGCCAGCGCGTCCGGCGAGGCGGGCCGTCCGGGTGGCGTCCCCGGGACGTCCTCGGCCGGCCGCAGCTCGGGGTCGGGGCTGGCCGGCGACGGCGGCGCGGGGGGCGCCAGAGGCGGCGGCCGCCGGGGCCGGAGCAGCATCCCGGGGCCGGGCCGGGTCGCGCGGCGATCGGAGCCGCGGCGGGAAGAGACGAAGCAGGCACGCCCGGCCGCCTACGCGCTCTAACGCCCTGAGCCGCGTCCGGCGGTCCGAGCGGGGTCTGCGCGACCCTCCCCCCGCCTCTGCGCCCCGCCCCGCCCCGCCCCCTGCGCCGGGCTGGACTCCCGGCGTGCGCTGGCGTCCCGGGCCCCGACTGCGGAGAGCAAAGCCCTGTCCGGGACGGGGTCCGACGGGGAAGCACCTGCAAAACCGTGGAGTTGGTGATTTTTAATTAAATCTCTTGGACCGAAGCGCGGCGGGATGCGCTCCCCTGCGCGGGACCCCTAAGGACCACTCCGTTATTACGCATGTGCCGTGCCCTTTAACCCCTCCAGGCATTGACCTGCGGGACCCCGCCCGTCGTGGGGAGGGCGCTCACCGACCCCTTAGCGTCTTCTTGCGCTCTGGCGTGTTCTCTGCGATGGGAGGGGCGCCGGTGCGGGCTATGCAACCGCACAAGAGTGCGGTGTGCAAGGCGTGACTGGCACCTGGGGCTGGCGTCGATGCACAGCCTCGGTGGTGACATGCACGCTGCGGAAATTCCATCTGCCGCCGAGGCTGCAGACCGTGCGAAACACGGAGGCCGAGACAGGAGTAGGACAGGGTCCTGAATGCGCAACGGAACAGGGACCCCCACCCCCAGTGGCGCGGGCGCGCCCCTCCCTGCCGGGGTGCCGCGCTCGGCTGCTCTGGGGGCAGCTAGGGGTTCCCCTGGCAGCGGCCCAGCGCTCCTGCTGCTTGGTGTTGAAACCCCTGGCCGCGGAGCTTCCCAGAAGCGCTGACTGCGGTACTTGGGCGGGACCAGGTGCTCTCGGAGCATGTAAGCGGGCGGTCCCCTACCCCTGTGTGCAGGTGGCAAGACTGGACTCTGGGGTGAGCATCCCTTGGAATCCCTGTCGATATGGTCTAGAGCAGATCTGACCCCTGTGGGGGCGGCTCAGAAGGCCATAGGGAGAATTGGTGGCCGTCTTTCCTGTCCTGAGTTTCGGCCATAGCAGCAGCAGCAGAAGCAGCAGGAAACCTCCCTGGCAGGTGGGCAGGGGTGGAACCCTGCTGCGGCCGACAGGAAGTGGAGTCTGCAACACTTTAACTTCATGTAACTGACCTCTTGTTAATCTCCGGTATTGTTGGCCAGCCAGCCGTGGGGGCCAGAGACTGGCTGCCTGGGTCCCTCCGGCGCCTGGGGCACTGTTTCTGAGCAGTTGGGGAATTGCTCGGGCCTTTTTTAAGGGGCGAGGGCTGGGAGGCGGCACTGCTCTCTTCACCCTGCCCCCTGCACCGGAAACTTGCCGCATGCAAGTGGCTTCACCCATGGGCTCATCTCCTTGGACGAGAACTGCACAGGGTGGGGACCTGGGGTAATGGGGGGCTGCAGGGATCAGGTCCCCCAAAAAACACCGCCGATCAGCAGAGGGCCATGGAGGACACCCCTGCCTGTGTGGCTGAGGACTTGGGGTCTTCTTGATTTTAAAGGTGGGGGTGGCCCTAAGCTGCCCGCTCACACAGCCCCTGGGTGTCCCAGAAGATGGACAGGGACTTCCCACTGTGTATACGCCAGGTTCAGCCCGTGCCTGCCCGTCAGCCCCAGAGGGCCAGGTCAGAGTCCTTTCCTGGGGGTGACCAAGCCCGTACAGGAGTGTCCCCAGCCTGCCTGCTCCTCCAGAGCTGGCCCAGGCTGGGGCAAGGCCACACTGCGGGAAGCCAGGGACTGGGGGTGGCAGAGTCAGGGCAGAAGAGTGCGGATCGGTGACTGGCATGTGTCTCGCTGACCCCTGGGCCATTTGAGGTGGTCCCTGGAGCAGCCTGCGAGCTTGGGGCTCCGGGGGCTCCTGATGGGACCTGGCCCTTCCTCGGTGCCACGGGGGTGCAGGTGTAACCAAGGGTGTCACCTGGCCAAGCACCCGCCCCCTTGCACGTTTCACACCAGGACCACAGAACGGGCCCACACGCATTGGTCTGGGAGGATTTATTTAAAACCTTGTGTGACATGGGGGCCATGCAGGCGGTGGTGAAGCCAAAAGCCTGGTCCCTCCCCCGTCACATGGGAAACGCTGACTTGTGCTGGGCACCAGAGGTGGGAGTCGGTCAGCAGGACACAGTCCTCTTACAAAAGCCTGTCCTGTGGGTGCTGCAGGGCTCCAAGCCCCTCCCACACCCCGCGCGTCTGCCCGTCACGCACCTGCACACCCGCAGGCCAGCGTTCAGTGCTCTGTCCCACTGGTGCTGGGCTGGGCAGGGCTGGTGCAGGGGCCAGGGAGGGATCTGACCAGGCAAGTCCCTTAAGATCCATCACACACACGGTGCTGCCTCCACAGCCCTGGAACTCCAATCTGAGCAAACGTATGGCACCGGCTGTTTAGGGCCATGAGCCTCCTGGAAGGGTCTGGTGCCACAGAGGCGGTGGACGGGATGCGGGTATGTGGGAGCCGCGTGCGGGGACAGGGTGGCGCGGGCTCGTGCATGGCTGCGGCAGGCGGTGGGGACCCCTGAGGTGGGTCTGGAGCTGCTGTGCACCCGACTCCCTTCAGGTGCAGCAGGGCCCCTGCGCCCTGGGAGCTGCTCCAAGCTGGGGTGCAAGGGGGCGGGGCGGGGGAAAGGTGGCCTGGCAGGGGCTTCGGGCCTTGTGTGGGTTCAGGGCCAACCTCTTCTTTTCTTTTCTTTCTTTCTTTCCTTTTTTTTTTTTTTTTTTTTTTTTGCAGCTCAGTTTACATCCCTGGGTCGTGGCAGGTGGGGGTCACTGGAGAATTGATTGACAGCCACTTCTCTAAGAGAGCATCCAATGGGTGTGGAGCCCTGTGCTTCCTGGCCCCGCCCCTCCCCACCCACCCTGTCCTCAGCTACTGGAACGTGGCTTTCATCCTGCGGAGCTTGTCCTGGATCTTCCGTGCGTGCTTCTCGCTGGGCACCGGGAGCGAGTTGGCCCTGCTGTCCGCGGCCAAGACGGCAACGTCGGCCCCGCTGAAGCGGGCGATCCTGCGCCTCAGGTGGGCCTGCAGCTTGGGGTCGGGGCTGAAGGTGTAGGGGTTCTCCTGGAAGGCGTGCACCTGGCTCACCACCCGGGCTATGCTTCTTCATGGGGGAGAGGAAGGTTAGTGTGCACACGGCACCAGCAGCGGCGCCGCCCCGGTGAGCTCCAGCCTTGGGACCACCGAAGCCACACCCTCTCTGGGGGCCGCGTCACAAGGAGGGCCCCAGCTCGCGTTCGGCCGCGGCCTGCCCAACCCCACTCCACACCAAGACGGCCGCGCCAGTGCCAGCCGTTGAGGGCTTGCAGCTCAGGGGGGGCCCGCCAGGGCGCATCCCACAGAGCCCAGCTGAGCTCCCAGCCCTGGTGTGGCAACTGGCAAACAGCCAGGGCCGTCTCTCTGGAAAGCAGGGGCACCTGCCATGGGCGTCCTTGGAAATTCAGCGGAGCCCCCCCCCCACGAGCCCCTTGGCATCCAGACTGGCATCAGGTTTGTTGCAGGACGGAGCTGTACACACTTGCAGGTGCAGAGTAAGGGACGCAGTGGAGCCCTCGCCTTGGCCCCTCGCCACAGCGCCTTAACCCTGAGCCCTCGCCTCACCCTCGCCCCTGCCCCTCCTGATGGCACGGCCTTAACCCTTTGCTTCCCCTTTTGCCGGCAGGGGCCTCTCAGCAGAGCGTGTTCACGCCATGACTAAGGGGCCTTGCTCTGAGCACGGGGACCCTCTGGGCCTCGCTCCCCAGGCAAGGCCGTGGCCCCAGCAGCCAGCACCTGCTCCTGGGGTGGATGATGGGGAGGAGCTACAGCAGCAGGGGGTAGGCGCAGGTGGGACAGCCTGGGCCCAGGGAGAGGCTGGCCCAGCGAGCGCCTCTGTAGGCAGAGCTGAGTGCCAGGGCCCTCTGGTGCTGTCCGCTCAGCCTTCCCTGTGTGCTGGGCTCCAGCTGTGCCGGGCAGGGGAAAGGCGCTGAGAGGGAAGAGCAGGGTCCATGTGGTGCCAGGGGGCTGGGCCCGCACTGGCCAGTGCAGGGATGCCTGCATCTCAGAGCAGGGAGGTCCCCTGGGCCCCAGGAGTGTGGGGTCCTTGCCCTGGGCCCTGGGAGTGTGGGGTCCTTGCCCTGGGCCCCCTCCTCACCTGAGCTTGCTCCACCTGTGGGCCCCGTTGGTCATGGTGAAGCCGCCCGTCTCCAGCTGCTGGACGTGCATGGCCAGGAGGCGGGCAGAGGGCAGGGTGGGCTGGGCACGGAAGCGCCGACCCTCCATGAGACACAGGCTGTCACTCTTCAGGAAGACCTGGGGCCCCCAGGGCACAGGCGAGGGAGAGATGGGGTCTGGTCAGCACTCGGCCCGGCCAGCCCCGGCCTGCGCCTGTGTTGCTGTGCAGGGCAGCCCAGCTGCTGGCTTTGTGTCCAGCCCACAGTGTTTCCCAGTTGCTGACTGGGTCACGCCCAGACACCTATGCTGGCGCCAGTGAGCACTGACAGCCACCGGGAAGCGGGAAGCGGGAAGCGTCTGCCCTCGCTCAGAACCCACTGCCTTCCCAGCGCTGGGCCCAGAGCAGGGCAGGTGCCCCCTGTCCCCGCCCACAGAGCCTGGCCTCAAGGGGTCTCTGCACTCCGGGTCAGCGGGGAGGCCTGGGCCACTTCACACAGCACCTCCTGCTCCCTGCTCCCTGGGCCCCTGGGTTGGGCTGGGCTGGGGAGTCGGACTAGCGAGGCCCACGACCCGGCAGGTGGGCACCTCGGCTGGGAGACGCTGGCCTGCGTTGTGCACAGTGGCAGGGTTGCCACGAGGCAGGTTGTGCCTCCTGAGCCCCGGGGGGTGCAGAGCCCGGTGGGCGCTGGTGCCCGAGACGCGCCAGGCGCCAGTACCTCCACGGCCTTCAGCTCCTCCATGATCTCGGCCATCTTGGCAGGGAGAATTCTCCAGGCCTGAAACAGCAGTGCGGGTGAGACGCCCAGGCCCCGCGGGGGTCCCAGCCCACAGCCTGCCCGCAGCCCGGGGACGCACAGGGGACTGCCTCACGGCCAGGTGCTCCAGCCCACCCAGAATCTGCATGGCTGTGGCAAAGTTCCTCTGCTCGTAGCAAGATTTCGCAATCAGCAAAAACCTGGACAGCAAGTTCACCTGCAGCTGCAATGAGAGCGGCTCCGAGTCCCCAGCCTGCACCGAGCAGAGAGCAGCCGAGACCCCGTCGGGCAGCCCCACGGCCCAGGACTGGGGTCCAGGGCAGGCGGGGCTGGGGCTGGGGTGGACACAGCTCTGAAGAGGTGGCCTAGGGCTGGGGTGGACGACAAAAGGGCAGCGCTCAGGCGGAGGGAGAATCTGAGAAGAGCTCCAGCTGCACCCTCAGCAGCAGAGTCAGGCCAGGTGCACGGCCATGGCCCCCCCTGCGCCAGGGGCAGGGGCAGCGGGTGCCTGGGCCACTGCTGGGTGCCCTGTCCTGCCCAAGGCCTCTGGGACCTGGGAGATCCTGGGATTGGGCCCCATGGAGGGCTGGAGCCTGACCTCATGCACGAGCCAAGGACCCACGGCAGGCACAAGTGGGGAGGCAACAGGGACCCGGATGGCCACGGAGCTCAAGGAGGGGAGCTGGGGTCTCAGATCCCAGCCTGGGACAGGAGGGGGTCCTGGGATGGGAGCACGTCCCACCCAGCCCTGTGTGACGGTGTGAATGACTGTGAGTGCTTGTGGGCAGCTGTGACTGTGGGTGAGGCTGTGAGTGTGAGTGTGGGGGAGAGGCTGTGAGTGTGGGGGAGGGGCTGTGAGTGTGGCTGAGAGGTTGTGAGTGTGGGTGAGGCTGTGAGTGTGACTATGGGTGAGGCTTTGAGTGTGAGTGTGGGGGAGGGGCTGAGTGTGGGGGAGAGGCTGTGAGTGTGGGGGAGGGGCTGTGAGTGTGGCTGAGAGGTTGTGAGTGTGTGGGCGGCTGAGTGACTGCACATCCGTGGGACTGTGTGAGTCACTGTGTCTGTCAGTGGCTGTCCTGGGGGCCCAGATGACAGAGCCTAGAACAGGCCCTGGGGGCTGAAGCTGGGTGGGTGGGTGGGGACACCGAGGCTCAGCTTTGCCCATGGGGAGACAGCGCCGCCCGGCCCCAGGCAGTGTCCCCGCACCCGACCTTGGGCGTGTGGCTGGTGGCGATCTCAGCAGCCACCCAGGTGCCCACGTCGTCCGCGTGCCTCAGGAGCTGCAGCAGGTACCTGTCCTGGGGGCAGCTGGACAGAAACAAGCTGCAGGGCTTGGCCGACAGAGGCTCCGAGGCGCTGGCTCTGGAAGGGAGGGCGCCCGGGGTCGGCGAGGCCCAGGCTTCTCCCTTGGGGAGGGTCCCCCAAGGCCTCCCCCCGACCCGGGGCAGTGCCGGGACACTCACTTGGGGATGGCTGTGCTTTTGTCCGTGACGCCCAGGGCCCGTGAGTTTAGGAAGTGGACAGGGTGGCATTTTTGAAACAATTCCTGCCCGAGACACAGGAGACGCTCAGGCCACCGTCCCCAAGGCCCCTGGTCAAGGCAGGGTCCAGGGGCACTGGGGTGTTTTGGGGTCATCCCTGCAATCACTGGTCTGAGGGTGCCCCCCCCACCTGAGTTGCTCTGGCCAGGCCTCCCCAGGTGCTTCCCCTGCCCTGCCTGCTGTGTGGCTGGGGTGCAGCCCCTCCCCCTTGGACTGACCGCCTGTCTGCTCCTCCAGGGAGCAGCACCCAGGACCCTGTGCCTGCGCCCCCACCTGCTGCAGCAGTGTGAGCTGAGTGAACAGCTGGCGGGTGCTGTATTCGGTCAGGAAGTAGGGGCCCTTCTCGCTGGCCTTGCTGTAGGGGCCGTAGAAGTCCTCGCAGAAGCAGGGCTTGGGCAGGGCCGAGGCGATGCTGTAGGGGCGGCGCTTGTGCTGGGGCAGTGCCAGCCCATTGCCCCGGGGCAGCCTCCAGGGGAAACCCTGCGGGGAGCAGGGTGGGGGTGGGGCGGGGCAGCCTGCCTCTGCCAGGGCACAGCCCCCTCCCCCCCCAGGCTGTCCCGGGCTGGGGTCAGCCACCCAGCACGGCCACCTCCCTGCAGGGTGGGGATTGGGCTGAGGGAATGGGGAGTGCATGTGTGCACTTGGGTGTGTCTGCACACGTAAGAACTCACGTGTGTGAGCATGTCCCACTGCACGTGTGTCTGCACATGTGCATGCATGTGTGACCATATCTACACATGCACACCAGTGTGTCCTGTGTGCATGTGAACATGTCTGTGGGTGTGCATGGCAGGTGTCTGTGTATGTGTGGTCATATCTACACATGCATGTGTGAGCATGTCCTGTGCACATATGCGCACGCCTGCATGTGTCTGAGCATGTCGGTGTGTGGCAGGTGCATGTGTAGTGGGGGTCATATCTGCACATGTGTGTGTCCCACTGTACACATGTCTGCATGTGTTTGTATGGCAGGTGCATGTGTATGCGTGACCATGTCTGTGCATGTGCACACCATGTTGTCAAGGCTGGGCTTAGGGGACCCCACCCGCCTGTCCAGGAAGGCCCTCCCCTGGGAAGGCCCCCACCTTCCGAGAGATGCCGTCCTCTGAGAGCCTCTTACAGAGGGCGTTGAAGGGGCTGGTGTCCTCCTCGGCCTCCTTGGGGTCCTCCAGGTCCATGCCCCGGGGGGCGCCCTCAGCCCGCCGGTCCATGCCCACCTCCAGGAGGCCCAGCAGGTGCTCTGCAGAGCCATCCAAGGGCAGGATCTAGACAGAGGCACGGAGGTCACTGCTGCCTCTTGGGCCTGCCGGGGGCCCAGGTACTGGGGTGGCGCTGGGCACGGCGGTCACCTTGGAGGAGAGGAAGTCCTGCAGCTGCCGGAGCAGCTCTGTGTTCCTGGTGAAGTCCACGGTGTAGCAGTCCTCCAGCCAGGCCTGCAGCACGCACAGGCTGCGCCTGTAGATCTTGGTGAGGGTGGAGCTGGGGTCCTGGTGGGCCCTGGAGGCAGACGGGGCAGGTCTGAGCCCAGGACACTGGGTTGGGGGCAGCCAGTGAGTTCTCCCCTAGACGGAGGTGGTGAGGGGGGCTGGGGGTGCCTGGAGAAGTCCAGCAGAGCCAGGGCGCCCCTGTGTCCCCGCACCTGACTCCTGACCCCAGCCCAGGGAGGCCCAGAGCAGGTGGCTACACCTTGCACCCTGCTCTGCTCTGGCCTGTGTCAGCCCTGCCAAGACACCCCGCCCCCGCCCAGGTCCACTTCTCCCCTGCTTTCACCTCCAACTTTCTCCAGCCAGCCTGCCTTGCTTGTTACAGCGGCTCAGCTCAGAGAGGTGCCCGGAGCCCAGCACAGGTGGGAGGCTCTGTACCTGGGCATGTGGGTGCCCGGGGCCCAGCACGGGTGGGAGGCTCTGTACCTGGACAGGGTGCTGCTGATGCGGTCCAGCAGGAAGTGCAGGAAGTCGTGGGGGGTGCAGAAGTAGCGGAAGGTGTAGAGGAACTGCTGCACGTAGCCCTCAAGGAAGGCGTTGCTGGAGGAGGGGTGGGCAGGGGGCTGTGAGGTGGACGCCAGCCGCCTGCCCTCAGCCGGTTGTTGGCTGGAGCCAGGGGGTGGAGGGTGGGGCAACCTTTCCCACAGGACAGGGGGGCTTGGCTCTCTGCCTCCAGAGCCTCACAGCTGGCCCTGGGCGTCCTGCGCCGCTGTGGACACCAAAATCCGGAGTGCCTAGGCTCACGTCCTTGGGTCCCAGGGACCGACAGCATGGCGAGGGGGACACCAGGGGGGAGGTGTCCCCCAGGAACACAGGAGCTCTGTCACTCACCCACTCCCAGGTGGGGCCCAAGGACCACACAGCTCCTGCGAAGGCCAAGCACACCAGGCCGGCAGAGCTGGAGAGGCCCCTCCTGAGCGCTCAGTTCCTCTGGGGTGCCAGGCTCACGAACATGTCACACACAGGTGTGCCACAGTGCGACGAGCCACACACATTTCACGCACACAGCAGAGGCCTGGAGCTGAGTGAGTTATTGCTATGCAGGTGGGGGGAGGCTGAGACCTGGGTCTGAGGGTCCCCCAACCCATACCACCAGGTGCAGCCGAGGGTGGGGGACTGCCACAGGCGTGGGGCCTCCTGCTGGCTGCCCCCTGCTCTGACTGGCAGGTGGCCGCGGGGACCCTGGGCAGGGCCGGCAGGGCTGGGGTCCAGGGCCTGTCCTGTGGCTCCAGGCTGGGCTGGGTTGCTTCCATGCCCCCACCACTCCCCACTGTGCAGAGATAGGGACAGGTCGGGGTCCCGGCAGGTGAGTCCGTGGTCTCCATGGTGCACAGCATCATGTGAGTCAGGCAGGACCCCTCCCCGAGGCCCTGCTCCCTCCCACCTGAGGCCCGGCCCTTTTGCCTTGTGGCCGGTTGTGTGGCCAGGAGCGCAGCAGCAGGCGGCAGCTCCCACAAATCGGCTCCAACCTCCCATGAGGCATTTTCCCCAGTGGAAACCCCCTCCGTGGAGGGGCTCCGTCCCCTCCTCCCCCTGGAGGCCGCTCTTCTCTTTCCTGACCCGTTTTGGACCCTCTGCTGGCAGAAGGGTGGCAGTGGGGCCCCAGCGCACCTGGAGTACAGGTAGGCCATGAGCCCCAGGGGCGTGCCGGCCTGCAGGACGCGGGCTGCCTTCTGCCGGCCGCCGCCCGGCTGCTTGCTGACGTTGTAGAAGATGAGGGAGGAGGACTCGTCCAGGGGGCTGAAGTCCAGCGTGTCTCCCGGGGTGGCCGCGATGTTTACGATGGCCGGCAGGGCGCAGGGCTCCAGGCCCCAGCGCTCGGCGTACAGGACCTGGGGTGGGGGAGCGGTCAGGGCTGCCGGCGACCCGCGGGCCCCCAGCGGGCCCCGGGCGGCGGCCACTTGCCTGCAGGTATTTCTTGACCAGGCCCAGCAGCTGCACCTTGGCTCGCATTTCCTCCAGCTGCCCTCTCAGCTTGGACAGCATGGACCTCACCTCGGAGCCTGCGGGGCGGAGCCGAGTTGGTGCCCACCGCCCACCGCCCACCGCCCCCCAGCGACCGTGCGCCCCCGCCTCGCACGCGCTACCTTTGCTCCGCTTCTCTTTCTGTGAGAGCTTCTGGTAGAACTTGAGGGTCTTCCGGTAGTTTCTCTTCTCTATCAGGAGCTGCTGCTCAAGCTCCTAGGGGGGAAGCCCAGGGCGAGCTCAGAGCAGCAGACCTGGCCAGGCGCGTCCACCCAGCAGGGGGACCTGCGACCCTGCCAGCACGCGGGGACTTGCGCCGGCTGGGGGCCTCAGGACCCAGGCCCTCTTTGAAATGGGCGGAGCCTGGTGGGAGCAGCCCGTCTGCTGTCCCTGGAAGACGCCAGGCCCCGGCAGTCCCCCGAGGGCACGGTGAGGGCTGCATGTAGGAGCTCCAGGTGCTGGTCTGTCCACGCCTCCGGAGGTCCAGCCCCACCCCCGGGGCCAGTTCCCGCTCACTGGAGAGTTCCTGGACACCAAGTCCAACTCAGGAGGTATGGAGACCAGGGCCAGCCCCACAGGGCTCTGGACTCCCTGGTCTGGGGGAGGGGGTGAGCACTGGCAGGGCCTGGCGGAGATGGGGGCCACTCAGGAAGCCAAGCCACCTCCACCCTGGCTGCAGTGCTGCTGCCCCCACAGCCCCAGGGGTGAATACCTGGGACCCCAGCTCAGTCAGCCCCTGGGTGGGAGCCATGAGCCAGTGCATACTGCACCCTGGACCCTTGTGTGGGCAGATCCTGGCCGAGTCCCACTGGCCCTCTCGCTCAAGGGCAGCTGTGGCACCACCAGGGATGCCCCCAGTCCTGAGATCCTGCAGGGCCAGGCACCCGTGCCCCTCCCCAAGCAGCGAGGTGCGTCCTGTGTGCCCCTGGTCACAGCCTTTGCTTTTAAATGAAGCCCGGCCATGCAGGTGAGGGCCGGCGTCCTGCTCTGCAGGAGCGAGTGCACTCGCCTGTGCCCGCCCAGCGGGAAGACCGCACAGGAGGCTGCAGCTGAGCTGGGGGATCCAGCAGGGACCCCAGGCCCCGGCTCTGCTTCGTGAGCCGGACACCCGTGGCTGAGCTTGCCCGGAACCAAATGCTGGCCCTGCTGTGGCCCGGCCTCCTTCCCCGCACTGGTCACTGCTGCGGGGGACACCACCTCAGGAGGGGCCCCTGCCTTCAGCCTGCCCGGCGGTGCCCGGGCTCCCAGGGGAGGACCGCGAAGTCTTCGTGGCTTTCTCTGAGGGAGGCCACCAGGAGGGGCCCCCAGGCGGGCTGCAGGGGACCTGACACCTCCGTGTCTGGGAAGTCAGCCCTGTCCCAAGCTTCAGGCCACCTGTTCTTGTCCAGGGCGTCCACTCGGTCTTTTAGTAAATGTTCGAGTCCCTTCTGTGGAGGTTTGGATGAAAAGCCGCACCGAGGCCAGTGCTGTGGTGTAGCGGGTAAAGCTGCCACCTGCAATGCCAGCATCCTATATGGGCACCGGTTCGAGTCCTGGCTGCTCCACTTCCGATCCAGCTCTTTGCTGTGGCCTGAGAAAGCGGTAGAAGATGGCCCAAGTCCTTGGGCCCCTGCACTCACACGGGAGACCAGGAGGAAGTTCCTGGCTCCTGACTGGTGCCACTCCAGCCGTTGTGGCCAATTGAGGAATGAACCAGTGGATGGAAGACCTCTCTCTCTCTCTCTCGAAAATCACACACCGTTGGTGTCCAGTGGTGGGCAGCCCCACGACAGTCAGTACCTCTGGCCCAGGGCACTGTGGGAGGGGTCCCACTAGGGCAGGAGCCGGCCCCTTTGCCAAGCGTTGGTGGGTCCTGCCCTAGCTCAGCTGAGTGCAGACCATGGAGTCAGGGCCCCCGTGGGAGGCAGTGCTGCCGGGCGCTGTGGCCAGGTGCCCCACGGCTGCTGAGAGCCCTGTCAGGTCAGCTCCCTGTGGGGCTGGCTCAGGGGTGCCTCGAGGAGCCATGGCTTGTGCTGCCGTCTGGACCACCGGAGTGAAGTAAGAGGACATGCCTGTCCCTTGGCAGCCACCCGGGGGACTGTGCATGTCTAGAACATTCCATCACGGTTGACCCTGGCTTCCAAAGCAGGGGCGTGGCCAAGTCCCCCACGACTGGCAGTGCAGGGCTCTGTCTCTGTCCACCGCGGGGATGCTGAGTCACTTGAGACCTGGAGGTCCCTTCTGGAATGGTCAGCACGTGGCCACCCCTGCTGGGACACAGGCCTCGGGGGCTGGCGTCGACTGCCCCACACTCGTCAGCAACACAGCTCCTATGACTCCTGCTTCCAGAAGGTCTGGTGTGTGTGTGCGTGTGTGTGTGTGCATGTGTGTGTGTGTGTGTGTGTGTGTGGAGAGAGGGAGAGAGAAGATTTATTTGAAAGGCAGAGTTACAGAGAGAGAAGAAGATGCTCTCCATCCACTGGTTCACTCCCCAGAGACTGCGAAATGGCAGGCAAAAGCCAGGAGCCAGGAGCTTCTTCCGGGTCTCCCGTGTGGGTGCAGGGGCCCAAGCACCTGGGCTGTCTTGTACTGCCCTCCCAGGCCATAACAGGGAGCTGGATCGGAAGTGGAGCAGCCGGGACCTGAACTAGTGCCCATATGGAATGCTGGTGCCGCAGGTGGTGGCTTTACCTGCTGTGCCACAGTGCTGGCCCTGGAGGGCTTGTTTGATTCTGGATGATCTGCAGGAAGTAAGGTCCACGTGGTAGTGGGGTGAGGGCGACGTCCAGCCGGCACAGTTGGACACAGGCTGGTCCGTCCGAGCCGGGTCACTGGAGCCCGGCTGTTTCCTCCTTGGCCTACCCTGGCCCACGACGGCTGGTGAAATTGCAATGAGGGCGTTGGTTTGTTCAATGTGGACAGCTTGGGGCACAGCTGCAGGACAGGACGTGGAAGGATCCGGAAGCGGAGACAAAGGGGAGGTGAGGCTAAGGCGAGCCGCTGCCATTCCCTGAGCACGGAGCAGAGCAAGCCGGCCGGGCAGGCGGGGGCAGCGGGGGCCCCGCTTCCGGGCTGGAGCTGACCCCGGGCCCCGGCTGGTGCTCAGGCCGTGGGGAGGACCCTGGTCACGTGGCACCTGTTGTCCTTTTGGGCTCAGGTGTGGACGTCTCCTTGTTCTTCTGTGCTATCCCCGGTCCTCGGAAGGGAGCCTGAGGCTGTGGCCCTGGCCAGTCCTACCTGACGCCCACAGGACAGGACATGGGGAGGCGGGGTCGCCCTCGCTGCCCACGCACGCTGTCCTGGTCTTTCCAGATCAACGCTTGGGTAAGTCACGGCCAGGGAGTGCTGCCCGGTCAACAACTGGACAGCAGCCGGCCCTGGGCGGAGCCCTCCCCACGGCCCTCAGGTGGAAGCCAGCGTCCTGTTGGGGCAGCCTGGTGGCAAACACTGTCCAGGTTCCTTCCTGAGCCGTCAGAGCTGGGACCCCCCTGATCCTCCAACCTCAGAACAGCCCTGTTTGGTGGGGTGGAGTTGTCCAGCCCTGGACCAGGCCAACCTCCCCTTGGGGCCCAGAGAGGGGCCCCATTTCTGGACCTGTGCCTGTCCTGCAGATGTCCTGGTGCTGCCCCCACCCTGGCCCCCAGCCTGTCTGTCAAGGGCCAGAGGATGATGTGGCCACAGCTTCTGCCACTCAGCCTGGGGGCAATGAGGCCCTGGGAGCTACTGGGGCAGCGGTGGTCCCCACCTATCTGAGCAGTGGCCCCCACACGTCTGAGCAGTGGTCCCTAGGCCCACTGGAACAGTGGAACTCTAAACAGAACCAGTGCTATGACCCCGACCTCACGCTGCCTGCCCAGGAGACACCGGGCTCTCTCCAGAGTAGCCGTAGGTGGAGTCCAGGCAGTAGGAGGCACACACGTGAGATCCCCAGAGAGGCAGGGAGCCGGGGAGGAGTCAGGGGCCCTGCTGTGGCCCCCTGTGCAGCTCCCGGGGCCCGGCAGCCTCACACTGCCTGCACACAGCACTGGCCGGGCCCAGACGGCCGTGAGGAGCTCAGACTGCTGCCAGTCTGGCTTGGACCTGCCAGGAGCGAGGTGCTCCTGGTCTCACTCACCCCACAGCCGCCCAAAGGCCAGAGAAGGCTGCACATGCCCGCTGCGGCCACGATGTGGCCCCTACTCTCCGTGTCATGGGGACCAGGGGACCTCCAGGAACTGTCACCTGGTGGCACAGGCCCAGCGGACAGGACAGAAAAGCTACCCCTCACCTTGAAAGGAGGGGCACTGAGCCCAGGCCTGGCTGTCCCCAGAGCCTGAGGCTGCAGAGACCCCCGCCCCCACCCCCGCGGGCAAAGGCCTGGTGCTCACCGGGCTCTGGGCCTCGGGCTCGGGACACCCGCCGGCCTTCTGCCTCCCCAGGTCCTTCACATAGTTGTGCACATCCGGCCCGAAGCAGTCGGCCTCGTAGAAGGCACTGGACCAGCCCGGACTGCAGCTCCGGAACTCTGCTGGGCCTGGGGACGCTACCAGGCCGCCTTCCTGGGGCCGGGCCAGCCTGGCCACTGCGCCCGCCTCTGAGGCCCCACTGGACGGCTCAGGGACCGAGCCTTGCTGCCCGCCGGCGTCCGCCTCCAGCTGCTGCTCTCTTGCGCCTTTCACTGACTTCTGAGACCGAAACCCCACCTCCAGGTTGCCCCGGGAGAGCCCGTCGGTGTCCAGGTCGGCCAGCGCGGGGGGCGGGCAGGGCGCTCCGCTGACCCACGCCTCGCTGGGCTTCTCTTTGCCTGGAGAGAAAGGGTCGAGGGTCACAGTGGCCATGGCCACCCCGTCCATAGGGAGGCTGCCCCCAGCCCTGGCCCGACTGCTGTCAGGACCAGGCTGCCTGCTCCCTGCGGTCGGTCACACATCTCTTCTTCTGGCATGTTCAGCTCTGGACCAGCCTGGCCGTGTCACACCCAAGCCTCCAGAGTACCCTGAGCCTGGTCTACACCGGTGGCTCCAGGCTGCGCTGGGCCTCGTGGGCTGCCCGCCATCCAGGGGCAGGTGGACCCCAAGCTGGGGCCTGCTGGCCAGTTCCCCGTCGTGGTGCTGTAGGATCTGGGTTGCCCGTCCTCACCCGAGGGCCCCCGCCTGCCAGTGTTGCAGTCTCCTTGCTCTGGGGTCTTGGGGTCATGAGGGGGGAAAGCAGTGGTTCCAAGGGGCACTCGTGTCCAGGGAGGGACACACACTGCCCTACCCCACCCCAGCCACCACAATCGTGGAGTGCGGGGGGGCGGTGCCTCCCCTCCAGGACACAGCCCCACGAGAGCCCAGCCGGGCCCGGCAGTCGCTCACCTGATCCGGGTAGCGAGGGCCTCTTGCTGGCGAGGGAGCAGCTGCCGGGGCACATGGACGACGGCCCTTGCTCTTGGGGGGAGCTGAGGTCAGAGGGGCGGCTCAGCAGCCCGCCCCCACCCCGTCCCCCACCCCCACACTGAGCCCGCGAGCACCAGGAGCACCACCCGGGCACCACCGCATCCTGGGGCCATGACCTTCCTGGGAACAGGAAGGGTCTTGGCTGTCAGTTCTGGGGTTCGGGATGACTGTGTGCCTCAGTCAGTCATGTGTACCCCAGCCAGGTGCACCCCAGCCAGGTGCACCCCACAGCCAGGTGTGCCCCATCCAGGTGTGCCCCACAGCCAGGTGTGCACCCCAGCCAGGTGCACCCCACAGCCAGGTGTGCACCACAGTCAGGTGTGCACCACAGTCAGGTGTGCCCCACAGCCAGGTGCGCCACACAGCCAGGTGTGCACCTCAGCCAGGTGTGCACCACAGTCAGGTGTGCCCCACCGTCAGGTGTGCCCCACAGTCAGGTGTGCCCCACAGCCAGGTGTGCCCCACAGCCAGGTGTGCACCTGTCAGGTGTGCACCTCAGTCAGGTGTGCCCCACAGCCAGGTGTGCACCACAGCCAGGTGTGCCCCACAGTCAGGTGTGCACCCCACAGCCAGGTGCACCACACAGCCAGGTGCACCACACAGCCAGGTGTGTCCCATCGCCAGGTGTGCACCTCAGCCAGGTGTGTGCCCCATCCAGGTGTGCACCACAGCCAGGTGTGCCCCCCAGCCAGGTGTGCACCACTGTCAGGTGTGCACCCCACAGCCAGGTGCACCACAGTCAGGTGTGCACCACAGTCAGGTGTGCACCTCAGCCAGGTGTGCCCCACTGTCAGGTGTGCACCCCATCCAGGTGTGCCCCACAGCCAGGTGTGCCCCACAGTCAGGTGTGCACCACAGCCAGGTGTGCCCCACAGCCAGGTGTGCACCTCAGCCAGGTGTGCCCCACAGCCAGGTGTGCACCTCAGCCAGGTGTGCCCCACAGCCAGGTGTGCACCTCAGCCAGGTGTGCCCCACAGCCAGGTGTGCTCCAGCCAGGTGTGCACCACAGTCAGGTGTGCACCACAGCCAGGTGTGCACCCCACAGCCAGGTGTGCCCCACCGTCAGGTGTGCCCCACAGCCAGGTGTGCCCCACAGCCAGGTGTGCCCCATCGCCAGGTGTGCCCCACCGTCAGGTGTGCCCCACAGTCAGGTGTGCACCCCACAGCCAGGTATGCCTCACAGCCAGGTGTGCCCCACAGCCAGGTGTGCACCACAGTTAGGTGTGCCCCACCGTCAGGTGTGCCCCAGTCAGGTGTGCACCTCAGCCAGGTGTGCACCTCAGCCAGCTGCTCACCCCAGCCAGGTGCACCCCACAGCCAGGTGTGCACCACAGTCAGGTGTGCACCACAGCCAGGTGTGCACCACAGTCAGGTATGCACCCCAGCCAGGTGCACCACCGTCAGGTGCACTCACTTCAGTCAGTGCTGTGGGTGCCGGGAGCTCAGGGTGGACCAGGGTTGAGGGGGCACCTGACCACCTGGCACTGGGGTCTTGACCCAGGAGGAAGGGCTGGCTTCCTGCAGGGGCAGCGGGGGCCTGAGGGGCGGGGCTAGGGCGGGAGCTGCCGTTCCTGTGGTGGCCACTGTGCCTGCTGGTGTCACCACCCGTGGCCCCTAATCCTGGGGAAGCCACCACCCTGCCCTGACCAGCACCAGCACTTGTCTGGTCCCTGTGGGGTCCGGGGCCACCTCTGTGTCCAGCCAGGGGACCCGTGGCCTCTCCGGCAGCTGCTGTGAGCCTGTCCCGAGTCCGCCACCAGCGCTTCCTTCCTGTGGGAGCAGGGCGGCCCCCGCCCTCCCCAGAGGGGCCGAACTCACCCCCCGTTCACCACCTGGAACAGCCTGCGCAGCAGCCGCTCCTCCCAGGAGAGGTCGCAGAACTTCTCGGCCACGGCCCCGCAGAAGGTGGCGAAGGTGAGGTCCCTCAGGGCGTGGATGTACTCCCCTGGGGAGAGGCCGGCGGGCGGGTGAGGGCACGTGGGGCCTCTGCCAGCCTGGGGACCCCAGCCTGCCCGCCTGTCCGTCTCTGGGCCCCGCAGCCCGCACCCATGATGAGGGCCTCCAGCCCGTTGTCCAGGTAGCCGTCGCAGGCAAACTCCTCCTGGATGAGCCGCGTGGCCTCCTGCAGGGAGCGGCAGGCCGTCCTCGGCGGGGACGGGGCGTCCACACTGGACGGACAGGGCCTGCGCTCTGCCGGCCGAGGCCTCTCGGGGTCACCGTGCCCCCTGGCAGAGGTGCTCCCGGGACTGTCTGGAGTCGCTGCAGCCCTGGCGGTGCCCCGTGGGGTGGAATGGGCGCTCTCTGGCTCTGGGCCCTGGCGCTCGGTGGCCTTGTGCCTGGGCGGTTTGCGAGGGTGCCGTGGGCTGCGGTCGGCCAGGGTGGGCTCTCGGGGGGAGGTGGCTACGGGAGGGTCCTGCCCCTCCATCCCTTGATCCGGGGGCAGGGCCGGGGTGGGGGCTGGAGCGCAGCAGCCCCCCTCGGCAAGGCTGGGCAGCCCCAGCTCCCCGGGAGGGTCTGCAGCTACTCCCTGCGGCCCGGGCTTGGGTGTTGGCAGGTCTGCTGTCTTCAGGCTGGGGGCCTCCGAGAGGACCTGGGTGCCCGGCCACCCCTCACCCTCCTTGTCCTTGGGGCTCTCGGCCAGCCCCGGGGATGAGGTGAGCCGCTCCCTGTGGGGAGAGAGGAGGGGGAATGCTCAGGAGGGCCCACCTGCGCCCGGGGACCCCGGGGCCGAGGGCTGGATACTCACCTGGCCTCACCTGCATCCTGCGCCAGGACCACCGGTCGGAAGTGTGTGGCCTCCGAGGTGAAGGCTGCCGGCAGCTCCTGGGCCCCAGAGTCGCAGGAGGGAGGGGCAGGCACAGGTCCCGGCACTACCAGCAGCCTCGCGTCACTGCCGACGACGGGCAGGAAGCCTACGGACAGCAGGGGGCGCCTGGAGCTCGCCCCTCCTACCCCACACTGCGGGGCTTCCTCTCTGCGGGCCTGGCCTGGAGCTGGAAGGTGGGGGTGACCAGCGCCCGGGGAGGCGGGTAAGGAGGTGGGGGAGGAGAGGAGACGTGGAGCACAGGCCTGCGTGACCAGGCTGTCGGGAGGCAGGGTGGGGAGGCTGGGCAGGCGGGCTGAGCCCGGGGGTTCCAGGCTACACCAGCTGTGTGTGCCCACCCATGGCTGGGGCTGCGGGGGCGGCGGATGGCTGTGGGAGTGGGGTGCAGGGGTTGGGGGGCAGGAGGACTGTTTGGGGGCCCCACCTGGGCGAGGCTTCTGCAGAGTGATGGTCTCCTCCTGCCGGGGCACCTGCACGGGACCCTGTGTGGTGATGCGCAGGGGCGGCTTCTGTGTGGAGCAGGGCTCCCAGCACCCGGCGCGCGCCCACTCAGCCAGGTTTTGGGGGCTCCAGGCAGCAGGCAGATAGCCCCATCCGGGACCAAGAGCATGCGGGGGAGTCAGGTGGCCCGGGGTGTGCCCGCCTACAGCCCTGGGGCCCCGGGCATCGTTCCTGACCTGGGTGGCCCGGTCAGCACACCCAGAAGCCCACAGCCACCTCTGCAGACCCAGCTGGTGACCCGAGGGCTGCTGTGTGGCCCCTGCCCCTCCCGCCGGTCAGCAGAAACCCCCGTGTGGGGCTCACGGGGAGGGTCCTTGGGGTGCCCGTCAAGTCTCCCAAGAAGGCTGAGGAAGCGGTGAGGGCGGCTCAGTGCCTGCCCTGCCCTTAAATTCCCTGGAAGTCCCTGAAACCGAAGGGAGGACGAGGGGCCGCTCCCGCACGTGCTCCGCTGGGCCCGTCTCACCTTGCAGGTGGACGCCCTCAGGTGGGCTAAGATCTTCCTGCTGTCCATGCCTCGCTGAAGGAGGTAACTGCCACACACCTGGGGACAAGGAGACGTCCACTGCGCACGATGGTCAGGCTGAGCGTGGCGGCTCAGGCACAGCCACGGCCGGGCCCACGCGTTCCTCCTGCAGCCGCGGAGTGTGCGAGGGTGGGCCTCGAGGGGGACCTGGGGCTTCAGGTGCAGGGAGACCCCCACAGGTGCTCTGGCCTGGGTGGCCAGGGTGAAATCCCACAGTGGGGGCTGGGCTGTGGTCTCTCCGCCTGAACTCAACTGCGAGGGAAACCCTGGCCTTGCTGTGCCAGACCCACAACCACACCTGCCCCAGTCCTGCAGCCCAGACCGACAAGGGACAGGCGAGGGACTGTGCAGGTGTTGGTGGAGTTGGGGTTGCTGCGTCGGTGCCCGGGTGTCAGTCCCAGCAGGCTGACCCCCCTGCTGCTCCGGACAAGTCCCTGTCCACGTAGGCAGGGAGAGGCCGGGAACAGCCAGGTGAGAAGACAGCAGGCTCTGTGTGCCGGGTTGGTTTTCAAGGCTTCAGGGAACTTGGCCAGGGGACCAGGAGCAGGCTCTTGGCTACCTTGACCTCACAGGTGGACGCCCACAGTGGGGTCGTCAGCACAGGCTGTCCCAACAGTTCCCTGTCTGTCCTGAGGACGTCGGACGGCAGCCCCTGGACTTCCTTTCCGAGCGCCTTGGCCAAGATGGAGGACAAGTGGCCACTGCTCCAGCTCTGTGAGGTTGTAGCCAAGTGAGGCAGTGTGGCACAGAGGCCTGTGCCACGGACCGGAGAGCTCGGCTCCCCCAGTCCCTCAGCAAAGAGGGAGGGGCCTGGCTTCTCCGGCCTCAGTCCCTGAAAAACTGGTCTTGCCACAGTCAGGGACGTTTGCCTCAGAGTCCAGGTCCCACCTCACCTTCCAGAAGGGGCGGCAGGCCCAGAGAGCACGGACCCCAGGTCTCCCAAACCACAGAAACCTCACTCTGTGCACGGGTGCACACCTGCACACCGACATCTGCTCTGTGCACATGGCACACACCTGCTCTGTGCACACGGCACACACCTGCACACCAACACCTGCTCTGTGCACACGGCACACACCTGCACACCGACACCTGCACACTGCCCCCTGCTCTGTGCACACGGCACACACCTGCACGCTGACACCTGCTCTGTGCACGCGGCACACACCTGCACGCTGCTGCCATGCTGGTGCAGGTCTGTGTTGGAGGACAAGGCCAGAGTCCAGTGCTGGCAGGGACACCGGCAGCTGGGGTGCAGAGTGGTGAGGCAGGCGGAGTCCTCAGAGGGCATGTGGCTGGGGCAGTCAGCTCCTGACTCAGGACAGCCCCTCCCACTCGGGGACATGGGGCCCCTGGGGCACGGTGCAGCACCAGCTGGCAGGGACCCTACGCTGCCCACAGGGGCCGCTGTGAAGTGGCCCCACTGCCTTCCCTGCTGAGGACCCGCTGACGGCCTCAGACACAAGGACCTGCGTGCTGCCCCACCCCCGCCCCGTGCCCCAAGCCTAGGCCCTGGCGTTACCTTGATGGCCTCAGCCGCAGACGGCCGCTCCGGGGCACAGCGCCTGGCCATGTCCAGGAGGAGGGTCCTGAGTCGGCGTGGCAGGGTCAGCTTGTGGTCTCGGGGCACGCTGAACTTGGCGGCAGTCCACAGCACGGCGGCCACACAGTACATGGAGGCCTGGGAGGGGCGGGGAGACTGAGTGGTCGAGGCAGATCGGCCGGCTGTCTCCAGCAGACCTGCATGGACCACAGCCCTCAGGGGACAGCAAGGTGCAGGCCCCAGGAGCGCTCATCTCCCCTGAGCCTGGGGATCCCCACCGAGACTGAAGCCCAGGCGAGGCCTGGGGTCACACGTGAGGCCCAGTAGCCAGTGACTGGGCTTTGAGCTCTGGGGAGTGGGGAGCCTTGGCTGTGGCCTCCTCTGCACCAGCGGTGATGGCTCAGGGGGTCAGGAAGAACCCGCCCCCCACCCCGGGGGCTGTGCTGTTCCGTGTCTCGCTGCCACGTCCGTGTTGCCACGGGACTGCCTGAGGGCAGTGGCTTTTTCACGGTCAGTGCCAGGGGTCAGCTGCTCTGGTGGCATGGTGGGTTCCCTTGATCTCAGGATGTGGGGAGAAAGGCCGCCGTTGGAACCCCCCTTCCCTTTCTGGTCTCATGCAGCAGCTGGGACGTCCCGGCCGTAGGAGGAACGCGCTTCCTGCCAGGGTTTGTGGACGTCCGTTGAAAGGTGAGGAACTCCCCTCCACGCCGGTCTGCTGCTTTTGCTTTGTCTGTGGCCAGTGCTGGACTTTGCCCAAAGCTGGGTGTCCATGGCCGCTCTGGTCCACGGGCCCACGGAACCTCGTGTCCCAGAGCAGTTTTCAGCTGTCAGTCTTGGCTGCTGCAGCGAGCCACGCTCGGTCAGCTTTAGACCTTGGGGGCACCCAGCCTGTCCACGTCTCCTTCCGTGGCGATGCTTGTGGGCGGTGCTGGACGTGGGAGAAGGCTCCGCCCCGCCCTCCACCCTGGAAGCGTTCTTTGATCAGGCTGTGGGTGGTTTTCACACTCTTTGGTGCTGCGGACGGGCTGCTCACGCAAAGAACCGCAAGCGTGATTTCCTCGTGTGTCTCCCAGAAAAGACCATGGAGCTGTTTTATCTCCTTAAAACGCTTGGTGTGATTTTCTAGTGAAACCATATGGGCCTAGAGATCTGTTGTAGACAAGTTTTACAAACTCAGTTTTCCAGGATCTATGGGGCTATTCCGACCAAGTCTTTCACAGTGAGAGCCAGCACTGGCGCGTTTGATCTCAGTGGCGAATCTGTGTGCACTGCTTCTGCCTGTCCTTATCCTGGAGACGCCTGCAGGGACCGTGGCGATATTCTCCGTGTCAGCTCATCCTCATTTAAATGCATGCTTTGTTTCTTTAAAATCTGTGTTTTACTTGAAAGGCAGAGGGAGAGATCTGCGTTCTTGGTTCACTTCCCCAATGCCCACAAGAGCCAGGTCGGAGCCAAGCTGAAGCCTGGAGCCAGGAATTCCTTTGGGATAGTGGTTGGGAAACAAGTACTTGTCAGGAAACAAGTACTGAGGCCACTGTCCACTGCCTCCCAGTGGGCACCGGCAGGGAGCCGAGGCAGAAGCAGGGACGGTGCCTGAACTAGGCTCCCCGTGTGGGACGTGGGTGTCCCAAGCTGAGACTCAACGGCTCCGACAAATGGCGGCCCCCCCACGCTGTTCTGAGAGTGCTGATGCGTGTCTCCCTTCTTGTCTGCCCGGCTGGGAGGCGCCTGTGTGCGTGGCCGGGTCCCGTGGCCGATACTCACGTGGCGTTCCCCGGAACCCTGGGTGTCTGACACTCAGTCGTTGTCACCGACTGCTGAGAGGTAGTGACGTCCCCAGCACAGCTGTGGGCTCACCGATGTCTCCCACAGGCTCCACGGCGGCCGTGGGTGCATTTGCCCTCAGCAGGCGCTGTCGTCTCGGTGGGGTGAACGGTGCTGCAGGGAGCGTCCGGCGCTGGCGGGTCCGGTGCCCTTTCTGCGTTCTCCTCAGTGTCTGCACAGCGCCCCCCCCGCCCCTCCCCTCCCCTCCCCGCCCCGCAACCCCCTCCCCCCCGCTAGCCTGCTGTACTTGAGTTTCCTGTAGACAGTGTGTCCTGCGCCTGTGACCCACCGGCACGCTCTGCCTTTAGCAGACGCGTTCGCAGCACCTGCATCCAACAGCGTCACCCACACCGCGGCTCAAGGTGTCAGTTCCTGCTCTTGCTCTTCCCCCTGGGGGCTACTGGACTCTCCAGCGCCCTGTTTCATCTGTGGTATTCTGAGTGCGTCTCTTGGTATCTCGTGTCGTTTTCAGCGATTGTGCTAGGTGTTGTATTACGTACTCAACTCATCCGTGTGCAGGGGAACGTGTTGGCAGTCTGTGGGACGTTAAAACCTCCCCTCCCTACGCCATTGCTCCCGCGACGCTCAAACATGTTCTCACATCGGCCAGGACTACCGCACGTGCTACAGATCCCGGTCATCACGAGCCAGGGCGCTGAGCAAAGCCTGCGGCGGCCGTGCTCCCGCTCAGCGTGTTACTGCTCTCCTGCTCACGTGTTCAGAGTGCTGCCCGCTTCCTGCCTGTCGGAAGAACCCAAGTTCAGGGCCGACCTGCCGGCGTCCCAGGCTCAGCTTCGTTCACGCCCACGCCTGGGTGCTTCCTCTGTTGTCCAAGGGGCCTTTGCTGAGGACAGGGTCCTGAGCGGAGCCCCTCCAGCTCCGGGAAACGGCGCTCCCCCCTGCCGGCGTCGTCTCTGCCACCGGGTCGCTTCCTCCCCTACTCTGCACGCTGCTTCCGCTCTCGGGTCTCTGGTGCCGGAGGTTCGGGATGCTGTGTCGGGGCGTGGACTTCTTGGCATTGATCTTGTTTCAGATTCTCTCAGCTGCTGGAGCCTGGAGCTGCAGGTGGTTCCGTAACTGGGAAGTTCGCACGTTACTTCTGCAAGGGCCTCCCCCTCCCTCCCCCGTCCTCCCGGACGCCGGTGGTCGCTGGGAGACCTCTGGCCGCCGTCCTCTAAGAACTCCGGCTTCTTCCCTGCTGGGGCTGCTCCCTGTCTTCCAGCTGCGCTATTTCTTCTTCTTTTTCTAAAGACTGACTTATGGTATGCAGCAAGTAAAGCTGCCGCCTGCAGTGTCGGCATCCCCCGTGGGCGCCGGTTCGAGTCCCAGCTGCTCCATTTCTGATCAGCTCTCTGTTGTGCCCTGAGAAAGCAGTGGAAGATGGCCCAAGTCCTTGGGTCCCTGTGTCCACCTGGGAGGCCTGGAAGAAGCTCCTGGCCCCTGGCTTCAGATTAGCACAGCTCCTGCCATTGCAGCCATTTGGGGAGTGAACCAGCGGATGGAAGACCTCTCTCTCTCTTTCTCTCTCTCACTTTCTCTCTCTATGCCTCTGCCTCTCTTATTTATTTGAAAGGCAGTCGCAGAGAGACACAGCATTCTCTTATCAGCTGGTTCCCTCCACAGATGGCTGGGCCAGGCCAAAGCCAGGAGCTTCCTCTGGGTCTCCCACGCGGGCACAGAGGCCTAGGCACTCGAGCCATCTCCCTCTGCTTTCCCGTCAGCAGGGAGAGGAGTAGGGGGACCTTGAGCCGGCGCCTACGCAGTCTGTGGCATCGCAGGCCAGGGCTACACTGCCAGCTCACTCCGCTCTCCCATCCGCCCGCCGTGAACAATGCGCGGTACTAACGTTTATGCTGGATTGTTCTCCTGCTTCTTTGTGGAAACGTTGTTGCTCAGACGCACATCCTGGCGTGCTTGTGTCACCAGCGTGCTGCCACGTGCGTGTTTACGTTGCCAGCGTGCGTGGCTGCCCACGGAGGCGCGGCCTTGGTGCCGCCTGCCCCTCTTGGGTGTTCCTGGCCTCTGTACCGTCCGTGCCGGCGTTCACTGCGGTCCCGTGCCACGTCCTCCTGTGCCACCGCGTGCTCCCATCCCCCGGCCAACCCCCTGACACTGGGGGGCTGTGGCAGAGGGGAGGCCCCACCCCCAGCCTCAGCTCCTGGCATCCCTTCTATGCGCCCTGGGGGGGTTCGCTGTCCAGGGCTGTCAAAGGCTGAAGCCTTGGTCTCGCTTCTGTGCCTCGACAGAGCCCTGGCGCGGCGCGGCCTTTCCTCGCCTCCCCGCCGGCTCCCCACGCCGGCCTCCGCCCTGCCCTTGCTGTGTCCTCGGCCTGTGTGGGAGCCAAGGGTTCTGAGTGTTTCAGATTTAGCCGTCTCAGGTCTGCACACCCCAGGGCAGACACGGGGTCCGCTGGGCAGTGGGGGACCTGGGGCCCGGGGAGGGACTGCCCAGTTACCTTCTCGGTCACCAGCTTTTGCTCGGCCGCCTCGGGAGCCAGGAAGAAGGAGTCGCGGGGCCCTGGAAGAGAGCAGGCCCCGTTGTGCTCCCCTCGGCCTGGCCAGCGGCCCTGGACCTCGGCCCCGGGGCGGCCCCGCTGACGCACCATTGTCGGGGGCCGGCCTGAGGAGCACCGTCCCGTCCTCGGCCACCAGCACGGAGTCCGGACACAGGTAGGCTGCAGGAGCATGCACCCAGGGGTGCGGTCAGGGGCCGGCAGGCTGCGGGGTCCGCAGCATGCACAGGCGACCCTCGGTCCCTGACGTCCCATGCTGCCCCTCCCCCAGGGCCATGGTGTGGACACCGCCCCGGCCCCGGGCTCGCTGGGTCACCTGGGGGCTCCGTGGGCACCTGCAGGGCGCGGAGGCAGGCCAGGCACAGGGCCCACAGCTCGTACTCCCTGAAGGGCCGGCCCAGCTTGCACAGGAGGTCCTGCAGGGACAGGTCCTGTGGGAGCAGAGAAGGGGACTTCCTGGGGGCGTGGCAGGTGACACCCCCCTCCTGCGAGGCGGGGCTGGGGAAGCAGTGATGTCGCAGCAAGCGTGGGTGAGGCTGGAGGCCTGGCCACTGTGAAGTCAGCCGCAGCAGGGCCCCCAGGAGCCGGCACGGCCGCGGGCACAGCAGCCCCAGGCGGCACACCATGCACTTGTCCCCGCTAGATGAGGACGCCTTTGGGGACCTGGGCTCAGTGACCTGGGCGCTCACCCAGGTGCAAAGGGCAGGGAGTGTGTGGGAGCCAGGGCCAGGGAGCCGTGTCCAGGGGGCAGTCTGGGAGGATGAGGGATTTCTGGGAGGCGGTGGTGACGGACGCTGTCCAGGCCACTGAGCAGGCAGTCAGAGCTCAAGGCCCACACTCGCTCTGTGTGTCTCCCTGGAGGGCAGGTCCTCCACATGAGCTCAGACACACAGAAGGTTCCAGAAGCCAGTGTCCTCCCTGAGACCCCCTTTCAAGGCCCCCTGTGCGACAGAGGGGCTGGGGTGTGTGCTAGGGCAGCCTGGATGCCTGGTGGGCTGTGCCCTGTGTGGGGGCTGAGGTCAGGAGTCCCGATGCCAGAACTGTGGCTGGGCGCTGTCCTCAAGGAAGGGACAGCCCCAGCCACCTCAGTCTGCTCATCTGGCCCTGGGACAGATCTTGCTTGAAGTGACCACGCCGTCCATGTAGTTGCTCTCCAGCGCTCGCCAGGACTTGAATGGAAATAAAAGCCCCAAAATCCCCCGCCCCTCATCCTGTGGGTCAACCAGCGGTGGCCGTGTGCGTGGCCCCCACCCTGGGGCGTTCAGGGGACACAGCTCAGGAGTGAGTGGGGGCACCGCAGGCCTGGCTCGCCTGCGTCCTAAGCCAGATGTGGGGGCAGGGCCAGGCCAGGCCGAGGCAGACAGGAAGACCCTGGAGAGGCTGGGAGGTGGTGCCGCTGGCAGTGCCTTGGCTGTGGCCAGCTCCCCCCCCCCCCCCGCAGCCGCTGGGAGCCTGTCACCCACCTGCTCCGGGGATGCCACTCCGGGAGTCTCCTCGCCAGCCATGGGTGTCTCCGCTTCACTGCCTGCACCTTGAGTGGCCTCGGGACAGGGCAGGGACCTCTGCTCGGCAGGCCCCTGGCTGGAGCGTGAGGACTTGGGGCCCCCATCTCCACTGAAGCCTGGGCCTGGTGCCCCCGTGTGCTGGGGCTGCGGCTCCTGCTCCAGCTCCTTGCCCCTGGAGAGGCCGTTCCTTCCGTCCAGCACGGCCTTCCTGGGGCCCGCAGGGGAGCTCGCAGGCGGGGGCAGCTGGGCTCCAGGGCCGGAGGCGGTGGCCTCGGGGCCCTCGGGCAGGAGCCTGGGGGACGTGTGTGTGCGCTGCAGGTGGCTCCTCTTGAGGAGGTCTCTGTCCAGCTCACCCAGGGGGCTCAGGGGGCCCAGGACGAGGCTGGCCAGCCCCTCCTGACAGTGGCTGTCCCCATTCTTCATAGGGGCTGATGGCAGTGGCTTGGGGGGCAGGGGTCTGTGGCGCAGGCTGGGCTCCCCAGAGATGGGGGGCTGGGGCAGGCCCTCTAGGTCAGTGCCGAGGTCCCCTGGAGGCCTTCTGGGCCCCACGCTTCTCGGCACAGGCACTGCCTTCCAGGTGCTGTCGCTCATATCTGGATACAAAGCAAGAGGCATTCACAGCAGAGACAGTGACATGGAGCCGCCAGCATGGCACCCATCCCGGCCTCCACCAGGGCTCCCCGCCCGTGTTGCACCACACTGCACGCGTCCCCTGGACACCCGGTTTCTCATCCGAGGGCTTGTCAAGGTCACAAGTGGTTCCCAAGGGAGAATGGGGACCGGGCGAAGCCTTCTCCCAACCTCCCAAGGGAGAATGGGGACCGGGCGAAGCCTTCTCCCAACCGAGCGCCGCCCCTGGGACGGGACCCCCTGGCCCTTGCTGGCTCTGAGCTCAGACAGGCGGAGTCCCTGTGAGCTGTGGAAACCCCACAGCTTTGAGCGTGCAGAAGTGGATGCACCTGCCAGCACTAGTGGCGCTGGCGGAGGGGATGAGCTGAGCGGTGTCACGCCTGCACCCACTCCTGTCCCCAAGGTGCCCAGCACCGGCCTGGCATGCTTTTGAGGTCTCTACTAGGTTTTCGCAAAAATGCATTTTCATGAGCTTTTTGAAGACCTGGTCGCATGGATTTCAAAAACCGGCTTTTGCACCAAAATGACATCATCTTCAATGCTATTTTCCGTGAACTTTTTGAAGTACCCTTCCTCTGTGATCTGTTTGAAACCCGTGTGTGTGAATGTATGAGTCCAGGGGCGTGGGGGTTTAGTAAGATTGAGTGTGCCTGGGATTGTGTGTAGGAGGCTGTGCGGGCGTGTGGGTGCACTTACGTGCGTGGGCAGGCGTGTGTGCGTGTGGGGGGGCGCTCTCTTACCCTGCAAGGCTCCAAAGGACTCAATGGAGAGCACACGTCTGCCGACGGCCGAGAGGCTCCGGCACAGGTGGCAGGAGGACGCGGGCCGCGTCTTCTCCCGGCACAGCGCGATGACGCTCTGCGGACCGAGGTCCTCTCAGGAGGCTGCAGAGGGCTCTGCCCGCCGCCCGCCTCACGCGGCGTGTCCGCAACGCATCCCAACAGCGCCCAGCGAGGCGTGCGGCCTCGGCTCAGGAGCGCTCACCTCCAGGCGGGGTCTGTCTGCGGGCTCCTCCGCCTGCATCTGGCTCAGCAGCGTCTCCAGCTCCGCGCTCAGCCTGGGCTCCGGCTCCGGCTCCACCGCGTAGTCCAGGGCCGCCTTCAGCGTGGCCCCCAGGGAGTAGATGTGCGCCTGAGGCACCGGGGCCGTGAGTGAGGGGCCGCGCTGGGGGAGCGCCCCCTACCCTGCGGGTTCTCCCGAGACGGGGCGTTGGGGGAGTGGACAGCGGTGTCCTACCCAGCTGGGGGCCTGGGTCCAGCTTGCCCCCAAGCACCCACCGGCTCCCGCTGGTTTTCTGCCCACCCCAAAGGACAGACGGGCGTGACGCGTGATGTGTGATGCTTGATGTGTGCTGGGCGCAGCCCTTCCCCGCAGGAAGCTGAGCCCAGCAGGACTCAGACGTGGAAAGCCCCGCGGCGCAGGCGCAGCGCTGCGCGGGAGCGCGGGGCTCCAGACTGCAGGGCGGGCAGAGGCGGGGGCGGCGCGCGGCGCGCGGCTCGGGACCTGTCTGTCCTTAATGATGAAAACGATGCAAACGGGGAAATGGTGCCGGCGCCCCAGTGCGCTCAGAGCCCACCTCCCCGCGCCCCGCACGGGGTCCCGCGGGAGGGAGCCGCGTGAGCTGAGAGCGCGGGGCTGGCACTTTCCTGCGTGTGTCTCCCGGGAGACGCCCGTTCACGCGGCTGCGTCGCTCACAGGCCGAGGGAAACCCGTGGAGTGAACGCAGAACTGCAGCGCGGGAGACAGGATGCGACAGGGCTGAGCGGGGAGGCTCAGCACCCGGTGTGCACGCTCACACCGCGAGGGAGGAGAGGCGGACGATGGCCTCGCGGCCTCGGAGGGAACTGAGCTCCAGGAAGAGCAAGGAACCGGAGGATTAGCCGCCGCGAACGCTGGAACCGGCCCCGGCAGGATCCGCGGGAGGAGGGCGCAGGGGAGCCGACTTCGTGAAAGACGGGAAAAGGAAAGGAAGCAAGGGTGCCGCACCATAGGCCTTGGCCTTGGCCTAACCCGCGGGGCCACAGCTCCGGCCCTTCCTGGAAGCTTTTACGGCTGGGCTTCAACTACCCCCCGCCGCGCCCCGGGGGGCTACAGAACGAAATGGGGTCACGCCACTGACTGAAGCTGAGTCACAGCAGGAGGCTCCTGGTGGCAGGTGGCAGAGCTGTGTGTGGAGGAGGGGGCCTGGACCCTCCCTCCCACTGCACAGAGGCAGCTCCGGCCGCTCCCTGGCTGGATTCAGACGTGGCTCAGTGTGCCAGGCAAGCACACCCCCCTGGGGAGAGCAAAGCTTTGGGGCCCAGGGCGGGGGCGCAGGTAAGCATCTGTCAGGCCTGGGCACAGCGGTGGAGCATTAACAACCACTCCTGAGGGAGGAAACGGGCCGGGAAAGCCACCACCCGTGACCCCGGCATCCCACACGGGCGCCGGTTCAAGTCCCGGCTGCACCTCTTCCCATCCGGCTCCCTGCTCATGGCCTGGGAAAGCAGCAGAGGATGGGGCGTGCGCTTGGGCCCCTGCATCCGTGTGGGAGACCCGGATGGAGTCCTGGCTCCTGGCTTCAGCTTGGCCCGGCTCTGGCCGTTGTGGCCATTTGGGGAGTGAACCGGCGGATGGAAGACCTCTCTCTCTCTTTTCTATTTCTGTAATTCTGCCTTTCAAATAAATATTTAAGAAGATATCAAAGCACAATGATGGAGCTTTAAGAAGCCGGCCGGGAGGCTGCTTCCGCGACAACGGAGGTGCTGCTGTGCACGGACTTGGACTTCCTGAGGCTGCGCGTGGCTTGCAGACACGTGAAGTCGCGCGCCTCACTGGCTGGTTGGGGAAAGTGTTTTTCTTTTATAGTATCTGTTATGTATGTTAACATGCAGTGGGTTTACTGTTGTTTTAAAATGAATTAATGGCATGTGTTTTCTAAAATCTCAGTTTCTGGCTGCAAGTCTGGCACAGTGGCTGAGTCTCTGCTTGGACGTCAGCTCCCTAGGGAGTGCCTGCTTTGAGTCCTGGCTGCTCCACTCCCATGCAGCTCCCTGCTCACGGGCACCCTGGCAGCTCAAGTGCTCGGGCCCCTGCCACACACGCGGGAGACCCAGATGGAGCTCCAGGCTCCTGGCTTCAGCCGGCTGTCCCCGGATGTTGCAGGCATTTGGGGTGTGCACCAGTGGATGCAGGGTCTCTTTCTGTCTCTTTCCCCCGCCTGTCCAGTAGAATGAAAATGCAGAGCGATAAAACCCACATGGATGAAAACTCTTGGGGCTACTCTAACATTTAGAGTGTAAGGGGGTCCTGGGACCGAAAAGCTTTTGAGAATGAACGCTTTAAAGAAAGGAAAAACACACAGCCTGCACTTGGCACCTGCAGTCCTGTCAGGGTGGACGCCAGCCCACAGCCTCTTGGGGAGCAGTGCTAACGGGGGCGGGGCGGGGGTTCCAGTAAACAGGTGCACCTCCACCTGCCCAGGTGCCCACCATGGTGCAGCCTATGGGGGAGACGCTGGGGACAGCTCGGCCTCAAACAGGCGGGGACACTGGGGACGACTCGGCCCTGTACGGGGACCCGAGTTACTATCAGGGCCTTGCTTTCTCACTGGCACGGGTCCCCTGACCGGAGCACAACAGAACACGTTGAAGTCCATGCGTAGACAGGGATGACGCTGCCCCAAGACCACAGGGTTTGGATCCTGGGCCTTGGGTCCAACAAGACAAAATGCCTGACGGAGTAGGGGCCCACTGGCCACGTCTCATGGTGTGGGGATCTCAGTGGGGACCCTGCAGCCTCCCAGGGCAGGGGCTCGAGAGCTGCTGTTCCAGGGTCAAGCTCTGTGCCAACAACGTGCAGCCACCAGGCTGTCCGGCACAGACTGAGTTTTCGTCAGTCTCGGCTGCTAATGGCTGGGAAGTCTTTGCTGCCACCCTGGGGATTGGGCAAGCGGGGTCAGTGCATTGGTCCAGTGCCCAGCACAGTGCTTGAAGGACAGACAGAACCTGATGGACAGGCGGCACCCAGGGGATGGACAGCATCGAGGGCCGGGGGGGTACTGTCCCACACGCCCAGCTCACATGGAGGCTGTGCTGCCCATTGCCCTGTCACACGCGTGTGCAGGCCCCGAGGCCACGCACCTGCTCACGGAGCCCCCGGGGACGGAGCGAGCAGCCCGAGGGTCAGGGCGGCGTCCCTCACACGCAGGGTGATCACCTCGGGCCTCGCGTCAGAACACACGTCCACAGCACCCCGGGGCCCGAGCCCGCCCTCTGCCAGCCCCGTGAGGAGCTCACTGCCGAAGCAAGAGACCTGGGACGCGTCACACGTGTGAATCCCCTCCCCAGGAAGCACGCCAGGAAACCGGAGTAGCCCCAGACTGTCCAAGCCACGCCCCCACTGAGCTACTGTCCACCAGGGCCCTGGGGCCGCCTCCAGGGCTGTCCCCCAGCGCTGGGCAGCTGTGGAGGTGCACACTCACCTCAAAGGTGTTCCCCGTCACATCCAGCTCTGGGGGCACAAAGGCACCCTCAGGGTCATCTTGGGCAGGAGAGAGAAGGCAGTGAGTGCTCTGGTCACACAGGCCCAGGAAAGAGGAGGGACCCCAGGCCCCTCCCGGCTGCTCCTCTCAGGCTGGGGTCCCTGGGGACGTTGTCAGCATCAGAGGTGGCAGTTTGAAGTGACGTCTGCTCCTCAGAGAGGAATGTGGGGAACTGGCTCCGAAATGGAGGGCGGGAAGGAGGAGGTGCCGTGGGAACGGCTGGCGCACCTGGGCCAGGTGAGTCTCCCCTGTGAGCCCCCTGCACCTGCCTGAGCCAGGTGAGTCTTCCCTGTGCACCCCACACACCCACCTGGGCCAGGTGTCTCCCCTCTGAGCCCCCCATGCTCATCTGGGCCAGGTGAGTCTCTTCTGTGATTCCCCCCGCACCCTGCTTGGCCACATGTCTCCCCTGTGAGCCCCCAGCTCATCTGGGCCAGGTGAGTCTCCCCTGTGCACCCCCCACGCCCACCTGGGCCACGTGCCTCGCCTCTGAGCCTCCAGCTCATCTGGGCCAGGTGAGTCTCCCCTGTGCCCCCCAGGCCCACCTGGGCCACGTGTCTCCCCCGTGCACCCCCCACGCCCGCATGGGCCACATGTCTCCCCCATGCGCCCCCCACGCCCGCCTGGGCCACGTGTCTCCCCCGTGCACCCCCCATGCCCGCCTGGGCCACGTGTCTCCCCCGTGCGCCCCCCATGCCCACCTGGGCCACGTGTCTCCCCTCTGAGCCCCCAGCTCATCTGGGCCAGGTGAGTCTCCCCTGTGCCCCCCAGGCCCACCTGGGCCACGTGTCTCCCCCGTGCACCCCCACGCCCGCCTGGGCCACGTGTCTCCCCCATGCGCCCCCCACGCCCGCCTGGGCCACGTGTCTCCCCCGTGCGCCCCCCACGCCCACCTGGGCCACGTGTCTCCCCCGTGCGCCCCCCACGCCTACCTGGGCCACGTGTCTCCCCCGTGCGCCCCCCACGCCCGCCTGGGCCACGTGTCTCCCCCGTGCGCCCCCCACGCCCGCCTGGGCCACGTGACTCCCCCGTGCGCCCCCACGCCCGCCTGGGCCACGTGACTCCCCCGTGCGCCCCCCACGCCCGCCTGGGCCACGTGACTCCCCCGTGCGCCCCCCACGCCCGCCTGGGCCACGTGTCTCCCCCGTGCGCCCCCCACGCCCGCCTGGGCCACGTGACTCCCCCGTGCGCCCCCCACGCCCGCCTGGGCCACGTGCCTCCCCCGTGCGCCCCCCACGCCCGCCTGGGCCACGTGCCTCCCCCCGTGCGCCCCCCACGCCCGCCTGGGCCACGTGCCTCCCCGTGCGCCCCCCACGCCCGCCTGGGCCACGTGTCTCCCCGTGCGCCCCCCACGCCCGCCTGGGCCACGTGTCTCCCCCGTGCGCCCCCCACGCCCGCCTGGGCCACGTGTCTCCCCCGTGCGCCCCCCACGCCCGCCTGGGCCACGTGTCTCCCCCGTGCGCCCCCCACGCCCGCCTGGGCCACGTGTCTCCCCCGTGCGCCCCCCACGCCCGCCGGGCCACGTGTCTCCCCGTGCGCCCCCACGCCCGCCTGGGCCACGTGTCTCCCCCGTGCGCCCCCCACGCCCGCCTGGGCCACGTGTCTCCCCCGTGCGCCCCCCACGCCCGCCTGGGCCACGTGTCTCCCCCGTGCGCCCCCCACGCCCGCCTGGGCCACGTGTCTCCCCCGTGCGCCCCCCACGCCCGCCTGGGCCACGTGTCTCCCCCGTGCGCCCCCCACGCCCGCCTGGGCCACGTGTCTCCCCCGTGCGCCCCCCACGCCCGCCTGGGCCACGTGTCTCCCCCGTGCGCCCCCCACGCCCGCCTGGGCCACGTGTCTCCCCCGTGCGCCCCCCACGCCCGCCTGGGCCACGTGTCTCCCCCGTGCGCCCCCCACGCCCGCCTGGGCCACATGTCTCCCCCGTGCGCCCCCCACGCCCGCCTGGGCCACATGTCTCCCCCGTGCGCCCCCCATGCCCAGCCCGTCTTCCTGGCGCTCACCGCTGAGCTGCTCCATGAAGCACACGTTGCCGCTGGTGTTGAAGGCCAGCGTGTCAGGCGTGATGCACAGCGTCCGGAAGAGCGGGGAGTGGGCCACACTGTGCATGGCCAGGCTGCACTCGAGACACACGGCCCAGGCCTCCTGCTCGCTCAGCCCCCGGGCCCGCAGTGACAGGATGTCGGCCAGCGACACGTTCTCCTGCCGAGACGGGCGACTGTGAGCCCCGGCAACCCCCCCCCCCCCCCGTGTGCGTTCCTGCGTGCGGCTCAGGGGCAGGGTCTGCGCTGCACAGGCGCCTCCTGCTCGGGGGTCGGTGCTCAGAGCACACGGGAAGCCAGGGCCGAGAGCCCGTGCCAGGCTCACAGCGGAACGCAGGGACCGGCACGTGGGGTGGAGGCCACACCTGCGGGGCCAGCTCTGTGCACGGAATGAAGATGATCACACGATCACACGCGTGTGACACAGATGTTAGCTCCTGCCCGTTCACCTGGAGGACATGGTCACCTGTGCTTATGGCCAGGCTGCCCAGGCCTCCTCCACACTGAGTGCACCTCTGAACCCACGAGGGCGCCCCAGCTCTGTGGGAGCTCAGCTGTGATAGTGATGGTGGCCACCGACGCCACACTCACAGATGCACACGCGTGCACACGCCACATAACACCCACATCCCCTCACACACGTGCACACGCCACGTAACACCCACATCCCCTCACACACGTGCACACGCCACATAACACCCACATCCCCTCACACATGTGTACATGGCACCTAACACCCACATCCCCTCACGTGTGCACATGTCACCTAACATGCGCATTCAGTGCACACACAGAAATACAACACCCCCTTTACATGCGTGACACACAGACACATGGGGACATGCACACTTTCACACATACACATGGATGTAAGAGACACTGATGCACACTTACAAAGTGCATACACACGCATGCAAGAGTACACATCTGCACACCCATACTACACACATGCACACATGTACAATCACAGCACGCATACCTGCCCACACACTCACTCACATGCACATAACATTCACCATACACTTAGATGCACGCACACATGCATGCTGTCACATGTGTGGACACAGAAAGCCACCGCTCCTGGGCCAATGGACATGGCGCCCTCCACCTGCCGTGCTGTGGACTCTGTGCCTGCTGGACCTGGAGCGGGGGGCTGCAGACTTCACGTGTGTGTGGCCCAGAGGCTGACTGTGGGTGGTATGTCAGCATGGAGCCCCATGATGGGATCACAGTGGCTTTCACAGAGACGGACACGCCGGCTCTGCCCGCAGGAGGCCCGGGCGGCGCAGCCCTCGACATCACACGTCAGGGACCACGTGACGAAGAGCGAGAAAAGACACACACACTCGGCCGTGAGGCCCCTGCGGGGCACACGGCGCCTGTCGTCCTGGGTGCTGGTGCTGGTGCTGGTGCCGCCCCAGGTGCAGAGTGCAGGGTGGGGTCAGGAAAGGATGGAGCTTGTCGAGGGCAGAGCCCCCACCCGGCTTGTCCTCGGTCACATGACACTAGGGTGCCCAAGGGCCCCTGAGCCCCTGGGACCTGGGGAGGGCCCCCGCCTGCAGGAGTCCCAGGACCACAGCTGACAGATGAAAGGCCCAACCAAGGGATGCACATGCACACCCAATGCAATGCACACACACACAACACATGCACACACATACATGACATGCACACACACGTGCACACACCTACACCTATACCCACACACGTGGCACCAGGGCATGGCCCGTGTGCACCTTGGTGGAACCTCTCGGGTCAGCCGTGGGGGCCTGGGTCTGGCCCCGCCTTGTGACCCAGTGACACCCCCCGTCCACGCCTTCATGGAGCCCAGGGAGGGCTCAGTGACGTCACTTTCCAGGCCTTTCCGGCACTTCCTGTGGCAGTCCCCATTCATGAGACCTGTGATCTGGGCTCTGCAGGGCCCAGGGCTCAGGGGAGCCTGGAGCTCCCTGGGCCTGGTCGGGCAGGTGCGTGGGCACTGCACACACACGTGCACTGCGCACCTTTCGCAGTCCAGTGCACACAACGCACGTGCATGCAGGCACACACTCTGGGGCACTAAGCCATCGCAGCACCCAGTGAGTTTGTGCCAGGAGGAGACACGAAGCCTTCCATGACACGAGTCAGCCCCCGCCCCCTCCAGAGCCTGCAGCCCTGCTGGCCCGCCCAGCTGGTGACGGACAGGTGGGGCCTCGCAGCCTCCAGCACTGGTCTGAGGCAGGCGTCCTGCAGGGGGCTCTGCCTGGCCTGGACTGAGCTCCACGGGGTCCTGAGCTCTGCTTCTGGACGAGGACCCTCACTCAAGACAGGATCCTCCCAGCCCCTCACACCCTCAAGGGCAGGGTCCAGCCCACACGGGGCTGCAAGACCTTACTGGCTCCCCTCTGGCCCCTGCCCCCTGGAGCCCACAGCTGTCCCTGTGCCCCCAGCCTGCCCCAGCTCAGCAGTGGGAACCACTCTTCCTGGCCTGAGTCCCTGGCGGCCAGAGTGAGGGACACGCCTTGGCTACAGGGCCAGGGGCACCCACAGCCACTCAATCTCCTTGGGTCCAGGGGCTCCACAGCGGCCCCTGGTGGCCAGGAGCCAGGTGGGCATCCTGCTGCAGAGCCCCCTGCACTGGCGGAGCAGGTGGTGCTGGGCCCAGGGCCCCGAGCAACTCCATGGAGGCCTTCTGGCCTGGGCAGAGTCTCTCAGGGAGGTGAGAGCAGTAAAGCAAGGCGGCCTTGGCGCCCACGGACGCCGGCCGGGGCCCCACGACCCCGCCCCACAGCATTTAGGCTCCTGCCAACACCACCTTGAACCAGCCCCTTCTCCACCAGGTACAGACCCAGCTCCTCAGGCCCACAGCAGTCTCCAGGGTCTTCCTGGTCCATGGCCCCCGCCAC